TTGGAGATGCTGCGGACGGAAGCCTTTTTGAACGCCGCCGCTGGCCACCGCCACCGCGAGCCAGAGGACGGCGGCGGCCGCCGGGAAGAAGGCCCGACGGGCGGCGGGCGGAGGCGAGTCACCCCCGAGTCGCCATCACGAGACGACGTGGGGGCTGCATGGGGGGTTTCTCTCTCTTCTCCTGCCCAGCTGCAAATAACAGAAGCAAGAAGAAACTAGACGTGGAATCAATTTCATTTGGACTGATGAACAATACCGTACCATGCTTCTGCATCGGACGGTCAATATGGAATAATTTTGTCAAATAATAGCCACATTTATCTTTACAAAATGTTGGAGACATCTTTTGCATGGAGAGCATTTGGAGACGTCTAAATTAATTCAGATGCGGTGCTTAGTGATTGGTGGCATCAGGCTCGTCTGCAGGTGCCGCGTCACTTCCAACGAGGTTTCGACTCCATCGTCCTTTTGGTCTCTTTGGGAGCTGTGGAAGGAGCAAAACTGTTGGACTTTCTAAGCCAAGTCACTGTCAGCGTCTTTGCTATTTCAACGGATTGTCGAGGAAGCCAACGCCTGGTTGGGGGCGGGCGTCGGAGCTACGTCGGTGTTCACGGCGCAAGGTGCTTAGCAAAATTGTTCCTGTATAATCGCTCTGTGTAAACCAGCCTTCGTCTAACGCCTTGGCACCTCGCCATATTGCGTTAGTCGCTTTGTAAACTCCTTAATTTCTCCTTAACGAAACACGTGCTAAGCACTTTCTCAAAAAAAGAAAAAGAAAAATAGAAATGCATTTGGAGAGCATGTTGGAGACACCTTTTTGTCAAAGAATAGCCATATTTATCTTTACAAAATGATTTAGTTCTCCTCTTGGAGTTACTTTAAGCTAGTTATTACCAGTAAGCTGTGTCGATCACGCCAGGGGCGCGGCGGCGACAGGACCACGGCAGAAGGGGCAGGTGGCGTGGACACGGATCTAGTCGCCGACGCACGCGGCGTGGAAGTAGTGCATGCACGGCGGCAGCACCCTGAGGGCGTCACCGTCGGCAAGCTCTGCCAGGCACACCCCGCACGTGGCGTACTGCCACCCATCGGCCTTCAGATACCTGCAGAGCAGCGGCCTCACCTGCGCAGCTGCCCGGCACATCCCCACCTCCTCCATGCCCACTGCCGCTGCCTCTGTTGCCGTTGGCGGCGGCCTATCCTCGCCGACGCCGTTGCTCCTTGGCGGTGCACGGCAACCGCTGGCGGCCTCCTGCTGCCCCTTGCGCATCTTGCAGGCGCCGGAGATTACCATGGCCAGGAAGCCGACGATGACAGTGATGCTGTAGCCGATGGCAACGACGGCCAGGATCTCCCTGTTGTCGACCGTCAACATGGCCATGTACGACACGGAGATGGATTAATTGGTATGACTAATGCTAGTGTTATGGTGCCATAATTGTGTCACAGCAATTGTTCACTACTACTGATACTTAAGGGGAGGCGTAGCGATGGTTACCATGCCTGATTACTTGTTATGATCGATTCATACGATGAGATAGTTTATATTTTATTGACTTACCATTCTCTAAGGTCAATGTAAGGCTTTGCTTGGTTCACAGTTCACACTGATTAAGCCTTTGATGATAAAGACATCAAAATCTTTTATTCGGCATGCCTACGATTGCTGTTGAGTTCCAAGTTCCAACAAACGGACACCATGCGGCGATGCATGGTTGGATGAGGCAACCACACGCATCGTCATGTTCATCATCTTTGGTCTAGCGGGTCGTGTATTGTCTTTGAGCCCCCTAGGGGTGTGTCTATGGGGTATGCACGCCCCAAAGACCTTATATTCACTAACTGTCGTCCACGTTAGTGTTTATGTTTTGCTTTAGATTAATATGTCATTGAACGGTCGTAGCTCATCTTTGTGAGACCCCAACTTCGAGTACTTAATCACACATCAACAATTCTTTCTTCAGAGTTCTTGCTTGTATTCTTCAATTTGCTGGTACAAATTAACCTTCTCAGTGACGGAGTAGTCTCTCTCGCAGATCTTGCTGGACATGGCAATGGGCCGAAGACGTCCACAACACCGAGGTAAGCCCCTCATCCATCTAAAATCTCGATCTCTCTCACCCTCTCTCCCTCTTGTAGATCTTGGCCAGCTTGGCATCCATGGCGGGCTCAGCAGCCATGGCAGGTCCAAGACAGGCTCGGTGGCCATATAACGGGTCTATGACGGGCTTGACAGCATGTCCACCTGGTGGCGGTCGGATCTAGGTCGATTGGGGTGGATCTAGTAATGAAGACGGCGCACAACAGCATGCTCGATGTCGGGGATGGGCTTTGGGGCCTGCTTAGCAATGGGATCACCGATGGGTTTGTGTTCTTTTGTTTATTTTATTAAATCTGTTTTAGAGACGATTATTATAACCACCTTTGGAAATCTAGATTGACAACGACATTTAACCAGAGGCAGGGGCGTCGCCCGCCACTTGAAATCTCATCTGGCCCACTCTAAAAATATTTTTCTTCTAGTGTTTTTATAAAAGGCGGACTCTAATTAAACCACCACATTTATTAGAGAATCGAAATCATATAAATGGTAGAGAAAATAAATTTTATACTTAGAAAGGCTTAAGCAATCAATCCAAAGCTTCAAGAAGCAAGTCAAGCATGCAACTTAGATACTTCTATAAGTACGTAATTAATGGATACGTTAGTCTCAAATGATAAGGGCATTAGGCTTTTACTTTGTACTTCCTCCGTTTCAAATTATAAGTCGCTTTGACTTTTTTGGTACATATAACGTTATGTCTAGATACATAGCAAATTCGATGCATCCAAAAAGTCAAAGCAACTTATCACTTAGAACAAAGGGAGTATAATATCAACTACATGAGCACATTTTCCTATATGTAAGAGCATCTCCAAGAGTACTAAAAAATTCTTCCCAAAACCATTGAGTTCTCTAAGTGGTCAAAAGCTATTGGGAGCACCAAAGAAAGATTTCTCGGACAGTTTCCAAAAAATCACTCCTTAAAAGACAGAAGGGAATTTTACATCAGGAATCCCGAACTGTTTCTAAATCACCCCAACCAGTTCTATACTTTCTTTCTCTCCTGTACATTTGTATCAGGAACCCTGTCCTACTTATTCTTTTCCACATCCTTCAACCTTAGATTGGCGCGACGGATACGCGCACGTATTTATTTTTACGACGGGGTTGATTTTTTCAATTGCCAAAAGATTGGGAGGTGCAATTGGGAGTTGTTGGAGATGCATTTTTCACTCTTGCCAAAAGTCATGGATTGAGAGATTGTTTTGGGAACTCTTGAAGATGCTCTGGGTGAGAATGTTACAAGATGACTATTGGGATACTAAAATTACGGTTCGCTGCTAGGGTGTATATATATAATACGTAAAAAAGTATTAGCATCTAGACGTCTAGATGGACGCCCGAGCCAGCGCCTGCTACATTTACAGGTGGGGACCGCCCGAGCCGCTACCCGCGCTTCCCTGCTTCTCGTGCCACTCCCCTCCCCGCCACTCCCCACGCTTCCCTGCTTCCCGCACCCCTCCATGCCTGCTGTGCTGCTCCCCTGCTACCCGCGCGCACGCTGGGAATGCCTACACCCCTGCCACCATTCCCCTCTGCTTCCCGCATACGCCGTGGCGTAACGCTCCATCCCATCGCTTTCCACACGCATGCATGGGCCCCAGCAGCTGCTACAGGCGGTGTGGCAGGTGGGTCACATTGCAACATGTGTAACACCAGATCTACTTTTGTAACATCCACATGGTGCACTTGTAACATATGTCTGAAACAGCTGAAACACTTACAACAAACATCTGAAACACTTGCAAAACACCTGAAAACTCTTGAAAGCCATTGCAAACATATGCAACATTCAGATAAAAGACTTTGCAACATATGTGTGAAACATATGCAACATCCAGATAAAACACTTGCAATATACGACTGACAAATGGATGAAACATTTGGAACAGACGCTTGCAACATACGTGTATATCCATTGCAACATATGAAATATCGTCCGGATCTACTTTTGCAACATCCATATGAAACATTTGTAACATTCCTTTGAAACACCTAAAATAATTGAAACATACGCTTTCAGCGCAACAACTCCTTGCCACTTGGGAGAGGCGTGTGGAGTTTATCGGAAGCAGCAGCTCGAGGTGGCTGCGCGACGCGACGAGGAGGCAGCGACTGCATGACTGGGAGATGGTAGCCGCGCGCCGCGCCTGGCAGGGGCTGTAGCCGAGCTCCACGACTTGGAGGTGGCCACGCGCTGCGCCTGGCAGGGGTAGCGGCCGAGCCCTGCGCCTCGGAGGCTGCAGTCGAGCGAGTGGACGATCGAATTTTTTTTGAGAAACGGGCGAGGATAGGAGGGGATCGTTGGGCTGGCATCACGGCTCACCAACGAAGCCTCTGGGTCGACGGACGCCCGCATCCGAGCATTATCTTAATATATGTTTGCTTGATTTCCACGCCGTTGTCGACCCCACGAATCTGGGGTAATATGCTCACTATTTGTACGATGAATCATGTGCAATATGGTATGCACATGCATGCACTTTGCAGCAGGTAATTAAGCTATCTCCTGTCGTGATTTGTGGGTGTCAATTGGAAGGCATCACTCGATGCATTCCACGTACGCTGGAGCTTCATATTTTTGTTCTGTTTTCTCTCGATACATGCATGCATCCCCGTGATTTGAAGCATATGGCATGCATGCATGCATGTGAGGGCGGCCGTAAATTCATCATGAAAACAATTGCACGCAGCCGCAGCAAATCTTATCAGAAGTCAACCCCAGATTTCATCATCACAAGTCAACTCTTGCTCTGAAGTGAACTCCAAATCTCATCAAAAGTCAACCATCACTCACACTTCTATATAAGCGCCTCAGCTCATTTCTGAGACATTCCCAACACACGACCCACCGCCACTCACCGGCGACAAGCTAAGTACAGAGGTCGTCTCCACCATGGTGAAACTCACGGTCGTTCTGCTCACCTTGCTCGCCGCTGCCGCAGCTGTCATGGTCACCGATGCCGGCGCTACCGCGACCATCCCGGCAGGTCACCAACAAGCCACCAGGAGGAGCCGTTTCCTGCTTGCCAACAGCGCGGTCTACAACTCGCCGCCGCCGCCATACGCCGCCGCTTGCTCCGCCTCCATGAAGTCGGCCGCCGTGTGCTTGGCACCGGGCAGCCCGGGCCCGACGTGCTGCGGTGGGCAGTGCGTGGACACGACAGCCAGCGTCAACCACTGTGGCGGATGCAACAAGGTCTGCAAGCACGATCGTAGCACGTGCTGCGGCGGCCGCTGCGTCGACCTGCTCTCCGACGAAGACAACTGTGGCGCGTGCGGGAACCGGTGCAACAAGAAGTGCAGCAAAGGCTTCTGTGACTACGCCCTGTAATACCTTCAGTGCGGTATATTGTACTTCTCCCCCCTATTGAATGACATGTCATATTAGATATATCTTAAGCCAAACATTTTTTTTTATCTTTGACCATCTATTCAAAAAATTGTATAGATTAACAACATAACTACATATATTTTTGAAAAATTGATGGTCAAAGATAGAAATGTTTGATTTAGGACAAACTAATACGACATACCTTTGTTTTAAATCCGGGGAATAATCAATTGGACAGTATTGTTGTAAACTGCAGAACCACAGGCTTGATGTTGGACTTTACCTGTCGCACGCAGCTATCTAAAGCGAGTCTGAGAAGGACTCAATTTTCATGTTTGATCCGGGTTAATTTTGATGATGTATTTGGACTCTATCCTAGGGATAGACCTCCTACCCTGTCTATCTATATCTATACCTAATATTAAAGAGCAAAAAAATTATTCCTCCAAACTTTGGTCTCTCTCTCACTGAGTCTCTGTGTGCCCCCAATATCTAGAGCATAAGAGTCATGGATGGTTTTTTACTAATAGCAGTCGCACACGATGAATTAGAAATTAGAATCTTAATTGGTTTATTATCCTGTTCGTGAACTGAATTCATGACTTATATTCATGAGTTAGAATAATAGTGCACATCCAACAATGGTGTGTAGTCTGGTTCTGAAAATTATCAGAATAGATGATATGCAAGATGTAAATTATTCTACAACATACGGACATGTTTGCTAGTAAATATAAAGGGCCACCGACTGAGGTATGTAATCAATCAAAATACAAAACCGATCTATAATTTTTACCTTTTCTAAATCCTAGGTCTACCAAACCCTAATCTATTATTTTCTCTTTGTCTCTACGCCGACTTAAGGTATTCTAGGTAGCTTAATTAAGGTATTCTAGGTGGCCTTGCTGATTCTTGAAGAACCGTAAGTGCACCAGCCCTCATGGGGATCCTCTTGCACCAGTGCTTCAAGGCCATCCCAACAAAAAAGCAAGCACCTGACGGCCCGGCACAGCCTTCACCGGAAGGTCTACGAATCTTGTTTAGGTACTAGGATTGAATAACCTGTGGGTTGCAAGACCTTGGAGCTCAATATTTGGAGAAAAAAACACTGTTTTAGATGTTTAGCTCCAAAGTTCAGCAAATATTTGGTTTTAGGCAACTTTGAACCTGTTGATCCTCAAAATTTTGTCAACTCGGTTGGCTAAATATAAAATAGGTATCTCAAATTTCAATTCTTTGCCTTTTGAACTTAAGACAAGCTTGTATGCGAAAACTACTCAAACTGGGCTCCCAAAGTTGAATGTTAACACTGTGTAAAGATCATTTTAGAGCTGTGTCGACAATGTGCTGATGCATCTTCACCTAGCAAAAAATATTAAGAAACAACACAACGGTAATACTCGATCTCTTTTGTATAAAAAAACAACACAACGATACATCAAATACTTGATCATCATGGCTATACACAAGCATTAGACGATTTGCAGCCACTCAAGTAAACAACTCACTATACAAACTGTCTATTGAGCTGTTATGTGTTATTAAGGTAAACAAAAATCTCGCCGACAGCAGACTGTCTATATGTTGAACGTGCCCTAACGCCGTAGGCTCGTAGCGATAAAACTGCATGCAGTGGCCATGCTTACTGTAGCACAGATGATATACAAAGTCACGTTTGGAGACGTGGGAGAATATGGTGTCCCCTTATTATACAGTAAATACAGTAGTCAGCAAGGTCAACACCCCCCACCTCACTACTGGACTCCTTGCGTTTGCCGAGTGCTCGAAACACTCGGCAAAATACATAAAACACTCGGCAAATTGTTCGCCGAGTGTAACACTCGGCGAATAGCACTCGCCATAAATAGTTCCGGCAAAGCCAACTTTGCCGAGTGCCATTTATCGGGCACTCGGCAAACATTTTGCCATGTGCAGTTTGGCTCTCGGCGAAAAGAAACGGTCATAACGGCAGACCCGCCGTTAACAGCGACTTCACCGAGTGTCAAACGGCAAGGCACTCGGCAACTAATTTTTTTAAAAATATTTTTGGTTTTTAGAATTTCTTGTCACCGAGTGCTGCACTCGGCAAATTATAAACATATGCCGAGTGTCGCACTGGAAGACACTCGGCAAAAATTTTTCAAACAGTATTTGTTTTTTTTTTAAAATAGCTTTTCGCCGAGTGTCTTGGTGATAACACTCGTCAAATTGTGTTTGCTTTGCCGAGTATCTTGGTCATAACACTCGGCAAAGCCTCAGAAATCTGATTTTTTTTTTGTTTTTGCATTACATTTCACAGCACATATATATATATCACAGCACAGATATATTACACAGCACATATATCACATATATATATCATCTCCACACACCACATCACATACATCACAATAATCCACAATGGTACACAAATTTCATACCACAATACCAACATAAGGTTCGAGTTTAAAGTATCCACCACAAGTGCATTACAAGCATAAGTGCAACACAAGGAATAAGTTCAACACATGAAAATAAGCAAATCACCAATTAGACCACGGCGACTGCTGCGGTGGGTCATGAGGTACATCGTTTGATGCCGCCGATTGACCCTGCACAAAGAATAGATAAGATTACTTGATAGCTGCAAAAGGAATTGTTGAGACATATATAGCTAGTAGCATTGCAATTCAAAAGGCAATACAACAAATACAACTGTGTGTGAGTGTGTGTGTGTGCTGGTGTGCTGGTGTGTGTGTGTGTGTGTGTGCTGGTGTGTGTGTAGGTGCAATTTTGTTACCTGCCTTGGCAGACAAGTTCCACCCGTTATGTAACGCTGTCTCGTACGTTTCGTGTAGTCCAACGTATGAGGAAGACAGAGTAAACCATTTCTGGGTTGCAGTTTTCCTGCTACAGTGCTCGCGCTCCTACCGGCAAGCCAAAGCCAGGGCAGTGTAAACAACAGTGACTTGTACAACTAAACTAAACTAAATAACTAATCCTCAGATCCAACATGTGGTCTTCTGAAATCCTGCTTAACTATGGGTTATCTATTTATCTACTGTCAACCATGCTCCATGAGTCTGACACCTAACCATACCAACGCAGGCACAATCTTCCAATGCAAACAGAAACACCCCATGAACTATGGGCTTAGGGTCGTTTATTTGATGGTAAGTATGCCCTATTCAATTCTTTTAATAGTCACTTTGGATGTGGTTCATATATACCACTTGTGCTACGTTTCAGTCATAGCATGTGCTGCTTAATTTTCACCTGAGGCGATGTCAGCGTCAGTCTTTTTGACTGATTCATTTTTCCAACTCTGAGTGCCTCTTTTGCTCCTTCTAAAAAAATTTATATGAGTGCCATAGATTTTTCCCTACATTTTATTTCAATTTCTATGTATAGGCTTGCTCTTTTAGAATTGTGTTTTGCAAGGGTTCTGATTGCTGAGTGGTTTCAGTATGCACTCAGGTAGTCATGTGTCCCACGCTACTGCAGTGTGCAGAACAAGTATGGAGCTGGACTATTGGAGAGAAAAATACGGAGTTGAATATCAAAGCTGATCACATGCCATGCTATCTCCTAGTACAAAACTTGAGATACACCCCCCACGCGCTGGGTCTCGGACCACACACGCTGCCTTGGCCTTGCTGCTCCCTCTCCCTGCGGCGGAGGGCGAAGAACACCCTCAGAGCCAAGGCGACGAAGAATAGGACGATGAAGGCGATGATCAAGGTCACGGAATTCTGTGAGGCGGCCAAGGTGGCAGCATGGCTGCCGGGGTTGTGGTACGTGCCTGGTCTGCCGCCACTCGAGGGCATCGATGTCGTTGTGTCTGCAGAGCAGGGATGGGCGATATGATTCTGAGTAGTGACAATTTTTGGGTACGGCTTGCAATACAATTTACTTGTATTTGTATGGTACTTATTAAGCGGACACGTAACGAAGGTTTCGATGCTGAATTACCTGGTACGATATCGACCTCAGAATGACATTGACAATATTTACTTGCTCTCAAAGGAACGGCGACGTCGTCGCCTGCATTGCTTGGCCCTCACCGATTCTCTGATGGTGACAATTTTTTAGATAATAACTTTGATGGTGAAGATGATCGCACACTAACACGTCACCGTGTGTCCCCGGCGATGAGCGCGATAAGCAGGACACGTCGCCAGAGGAGCCTTGCTGGGTGTGCGATACGCAAGACACGCCGGTGAGGTCTCTTGAGACCTGAAACCCCACACCACCGGGAGGGACCCCATCAGGGTATGCGGCGGCTATGGGTTCTGTCCTAGCCGGCCTGACCCGTCTAGGGCTTTGCCATCGTTGAAGCAGTGAACATCATCAACAACGAAGACCAAGAAGAAATAGTAGATTGGAAAGTAATAAGACAAAAGATAGAAGATAGATGTATTTTGATAGGTTCGATTGTGTGCTGTCAATCGGACCATCACCCTTTATATTTATAGGACGGCTGGTTTTCCCGTATGAGAGTCCATCTCATTGTACAAGAGAGGTCCAGCCATATAATTGCTGTTGTATGTGAGCATGGTGGATTGTCAACTCGTTGATCACTGCCGGTTCAATCACACGGCTTTGCTGACTAGCTAGTGACTACAGGGATCAAGGTTTTACTCCATGGATAGTCGTCTTTTTTTAGGGGCTGGGTGCGTTAGCGACAACTACGAGGATTGTTTGTTTGTTGCCATTGATGGATCCCCATGGCCATGGGGCGATGACGGGATGACTTGCATCATCATGATGGTAACCCTGTGTGTGTACGTTAGAATGATCTTTCCGGTTCCTTATCTTAGTTCTTATTAAATTCGTTGAAGGACGTACGTACTTGCGTGCAGTCAAGTTTGTAAGTAAAGTGACAAGAATAGGTGCTTCCGTCCAACAGAACAAGTACCATAAGGGGAATCGTTAAAAACTCAAGAAAGAACCTGGTTTCTAACTACAGATATAAAATTGTTCTCCTATCTTTTGCTTTTTTTAACTCCCCTTTGTGATCA